GAAAGAAAGAAAGAAAGAGACAGACATAGAGCAAATAAGGTTTGTTTCGTGTGACATTTCGCCGTGTCTATTCAATGGCGTCATTTTATATACGATGCAAACGTCATAACTTGCAAGGTCAGGAAGAATGTAAAGTGGAGAAGAGCGTTAAAGTATCTTTTCGAAAAGTAAGTCGGATTACACGTTAGAGTAAACAGAATAAAAGTATTGACGTCAGGCGTATAGAGTCGCACATATTCTCTTCAATATTGATTTATTCAAATTATGTTTGCAAACTTTTAATGTTATTTTGTAGCAGGTTTCGATGACGGTTAAACATTTGAATCACAAACTGTGTGAGAATTATATAATCTAATTCTAAGCATTGAAACTAGCATAGAAAATCTATATTTTAAATGGTTTACTCTTATACATTTCAAACCAAATGCGATATAAAAAAAAACACGAATTATACACACAGATGGAGGTCCTACATAAATTTGGGAGATCTGGATCCAGGTGCACGTGGTCTTATCCAAAATTTATCTACGACCAAATGTTCGTTACACTACATTTGGCGCTGTTTAAAATGAGTCCAAAAGCAACAAATAAGTTGTAAAAGCTATATATTTGGACTCTCACCTAGCGGTGAAAGTAACTTTAATTTCTTACATGTACCTTAGTAATGTTTACTCTCACGCACATGTCCATTTTATACAAATCAACACTGCTCATTTATGATATTAAAAAGATATATATATATATATACATTTATAAAAAAAAGAGTCCTCTTAAGTTTGATTTGAAAACATCTTTTAGGTTGGATCAGCCGAAGGTTGCCGATCAATCCCGAAGCAGTTACCATGGCGATCATCTACTCTGTCATCCAACCCGACTGGGAGTGGAGTCCGGAACAAAACATTTTTTAAAACAATGTAACATGACACCCAACAATATCGGTAAAAAACGTTATGAGAAGCTGAAAAATAAAATGACATTGACAAAACGATTTGGCGGTACATCGTACATGTACTACAACACATGTCAGATCCTGTCCTAACTCAAATACATTTGGGAGTTAAGACTCCCTTCATCCTATAGTTATAGCGCAGTTGGTTATGGTATTTAACGTTTTCTATATAGTCTACATCATGGGTAGGCAACCAGATATGTTTCCTGGACATGGATGTCGTCAGTCGATCACAGAAATGGCCACACTATTAATAAAACAGAAAAGTTTCGCTAAATAAATTTATTTCAGGATTCTAATGACAGCGTGAAATTTCAATGAGAGATTTGGCATTCTTTTTCTCTGACCAGCTAAAAAAACACACTATCGATGATTCTACGAGTTGGCCACACATGGCCATTGGGCTGCCCACACAGGATCTACATTCTTTTTCTCTGACCAGCTAAAAAAACACACTATCGATGATTCTACGAGTTGGCCACACATGGCCATTGGGCTGCCCACACAGGATCTACATTCTTTTGATGAATCATTAGCACTTTTATTGACTTGAAATAGTCGCATGCCCCCAGACCCCGTAGTATTAGCATACTTTGCATGCTGACTGTGCTTCGCACAATCTATGTTGGCTTTTGATCTCACAAATGAGAACCTCTTTTCAAACATTCCGCGGACGGGCCTGTTATATACCCCTAAAATTCAGTATTTTAATCACCCATACCCCTACAATTGTATTTGGTAAATAGCAGTACAATTCTCAGTTTTAATTGTATTACATTTAACACCGTTATATTTTAATTACAGAACAAATATTCTAGCTATTTATTGTACAATTCAGGTATTAATTTAATTTATTATTTTATATCTTCATAAACATTAGTTTTTGGCTGTACTTTTAGTGATGTTCTGCTTCTTGACTCCACATCTAAACGGTAACGTATGCCAGATACAATGCTCCCTTACACTGTCGGGTTTTCATTGTTCAGAAGACGTTTTTACGGGGTGGGTGGTGGAAAAGAATATTAAATCTACGACATTACTTGAAGCCAACAGCTAGTGATTGTGTATTTCATAAATAAGGTATACTTTGTTTTTGCTTTCACCGACAATGTTGCTCGGAATGTTTAGTATACCTAGTTTTATTATTTTAAATTTTTATTATAATACTTTTAATTTTATTATTTCCCGAAGCCGGTGTAACTCGGTGACAAGTGATAAATTGAATGATAGATTAGGCCTCACATTTATTTTTTGGTATTTAAAACAGCTTGTCTAGCTGAATAATTTACGAGAATGAAGCAGTAGCATCAATGTTGCATATTCTAGAACTTTCTATATAAATTAAGAATTACTGGGTTGGTACACCTATGCTTCATGCGGTGATGGGGTGTATATTATACATATATATAGTGTTTTGAAATGTCTTTCACTTTACTCTTGTCCAGGGTTACTGATGAGGGGTGGAATTCCCCGAAAGCGGCATGCCACGTTTATTTTTTTTATATGACAGCTATTGATTTGCATTTTAAGCTTAAAATATGTATTTAAGACTAACCTAATTCTAGCTGGATAAACTTTGTGAGATATTGGATTTCCGACCGGAAGTATTAACAACGAAAGTATCCAGTTGACGAAACAATGCATTCTAAGCTCTAACTTCTAAGAAAGAACGTCAGAGGCGTCGCTAGGTGCTTAACATTCGTGGCCCGGGTCCAAAGGTGAGGGAAATTTCGGCGTTTCAGTATCATATCGATCACGGTTTTTCTATTCTGATTTTTCAAGTCACCAACTGTGTCAATGCGTAGCTTCACCTCTGAACTGAAGAACGTTATGTAATTGTAAGAACAGGTAAGAAAGGTTTATTTAATTAGCTATACTCATTACTAGATTATAACTTCAGTTTTATTCTAAGTAGGTAGCTTGCTATGATCCGAATTTAAAATTGATGTTAACTGTGTATGCATCACATTCGCAGCATTATGACTTTCTCTATGACTTACGCCTGTGTTCAAGCATAGTGAAACTTCAACTAAATCAGTAAATGTAAAACTATGATGATTTACCATCCCCTTTTTATATACGGCATTTTACACCCTAGTTTGGCCCATAAAAGGTAACCCTTTCCGAGAAATTTAGAACAAGCATACTCCCCAAAAGCTTTTTATCTTAAATTTTATTATTAGTGTTGATACTATTTGCCTTGTACTATAATATGCAATAATTATTACCCTTCGTTTAAAACGAACCAACTTGAGTGACAATATAACTTGTGTGTCTCATTGTTAAACTAAATGAACGCGCGAGATTATAAATTTAAGAAAACAAAAATCATAAAAGTTTTTCCACGCATTATTTGAAAGGTTGTTTTGTGCAAGTAAACCTTCGAAGAACGTGTGGAAAAACGCCTGGGCACAAATTACTTAAGTTATATATCTCATTCTCTGCATGCCGTGACGTATTTCTGTATTCTATCACGTTCGTTTTGAGTATACGATGAAATTATGGCAGTTCTGTACGATGTAGCTTAGCGCGTGCGCGTCCTGTTATAAAACCACCGGTAAGGGCCGGGTACTGGGATTAAGAAGCTGGAAAGATGGCTGACGACAGTAATGATGAGCCGGATTTGGCGCTTCTGAAAAACCCGTTTAAATTACGAGGGAGAAAAGGTGCCCTAAAAAAGAAAAATGTGTACGTTGTTAAAGATCATAAGTTTATTCCAAGGTTCTTCAAACAGCCGACTTTCTGTAGTCATTGCAAAGACTTCATTTGGTGAGTCGTTTATTAGTTCACGTTTTTCGTATTTCTTAAGTTTTCGTAACAGGTTAATAATAATGAGGCGTGGGCTTATAAGTTACACTTGAACTGAAGTTGAAGTTAACTTAGTACTGGTTGTCTAGCATTAAGAATATTAATATATAGAAGTTGGTTCAATAGGTGTAAGTTAAAGTTTCTTAAATTTTCAGCATTATAGTTTTCGTAATTCTAATTTGACGAATCAAGAATAGACTATACACAAATAAATTAATAATATACTTTAATATATATTACATTATCAGTTGCCATGTGGAAACTTTTTGCACAGAATAGCTACTTCTGCGGAGCCTAGGCCTATGTAAAGAAACAATGTGATATAGGAAGCAATGCATGTCGAACCGAATTATAATGTGATTTTTTAAAATTATATTTTACATCACACTTTTAGTTTTTCATTTACTGATTTTGTGAATAAGAGACTTGATTCGGTAAATATTCTAGAATGTGATAGTGTAATACTTGTGCCTGAATCTCGGCCAGTTGAGATAATATTAACTTACTTTAGTTAACAGTATTCAGCATTATATTATGTACTATATAACAGTTTAAACAGATAAACTTCTATATTTGACTTTGAGTAGGACGTGGCTGGCACAAACGCTTTTGAAGATTTTAACACTCTATTGGGGAAACATTAAAGTGTAAATTTTTTTCAAATTTTACATTTGATTATAATTATCTTAAAATGATTTTGAGAAATATATTCATGAAAGAACTTAGTATTAAAATGTAAGGACTTTTGTGCTTTATTATTGCCATATTGGTCATATGCAGTCTATGTTAACTAAATCTTTGAAATAATAATTTACGTAAATGTGAACAGGTAGATGTACTGGAAAGTACCTTTTTTTCCTAGGTCCTTGGTGACTTGGCACAGTAAGTTTGAGGCTTATGTGAGGAATTTGGATATATTGTAATCTCCAGGTTGTACGTGACACAGATGGTCCAATATACAGCTTTATTCTAACTGAATTCTCTTGAAATTTGTTCTTGCTCATTAATTTGCTTAGTGTATGTGCTCAGTGACGTGTTTGTTTCTAGAAGATAATCTTTTTTCACGATTTTAATAGGCTTTTTGTAACTAGTTTTGTACTTTTTTCTTTGATACTACTGTAGATGACTTTCCACTATCATTAAAGTATCTACTTTTACTGCTCTGCAATTATATAAGTCATTGAGAACTGATAGGTTTTTGTCTATTTATGTTTTTTAAATTTAATGTAAGACCTATTTTTAAGAGTTGTTTCTTTTATACTTTACTGTAATAATCTTTAATTTTTTTTCCTACTTAAAAAAGATTCCAACTATATATATCTCCACCTATTTTTACACATACAAACTTGAATTTGTGTACTTTGTGAAAGGACTCGTCCTACCTTTTGTCATTAGTAGTCTCTGATTCTTGATCTCTTTAAATATGCATCAGAATAGTAAATATGAGGTCATTTGCCTCTTTTGATAAGTTGCTTTTTAGTGAATTGACCCCCCCCCCCACACACACAAGAGGAACAAAATGTGAAGCCCCTCAAGGTTACCTCTAAATCCAACAAAACACTAAAAATAAATGTAACCTGTATGTACCTGTAAAAATGTAAATAAGTTTAATCCCAAACAAATTACTCAACAAATATAAACCTAGTATTCAATACAAAAGTAAGAAATTTCATCCTTCTAGTTCAAGATTATAGCTATGAAAAATAGGCTAAATAAAACGTTCTCTGGAGTCTTGAAGAGCTAAGAGTGATTTAATTTAGGTGTTTTCTCTGAAGCTTACAAGAGCTATGAGGTAAAATAATGTTTAAAATTGTTAAAAATTTGGATGAACTGCCTTCTGCCGGTTTGTTGGATTGTTGTATGAAAAAAATAACATGAAATTCTTCGTATCCTCCTTGTAATTCATAATTACAGCTCCATACATTTCTCAAACTGAGGTTTTGCCACATTTTAACACTAGGTTATAACAAAATTGTTACCACTAACAACAACAACAAAAAACCTGGAATTTATAGACATGGAACCCAACGTTAGTTATTTTAACCACAGTTAAGCTTGCAACTGATAGTTTAGTTTGTTTTTCTTGGTAATCCCACTCATAGGAGTAATTTTCATGGGGATGTGTCCCCCCACATTTTTTTTAAGGATAGAATAATTTTTTTGATAGAATACCCTAATGCATATCCTAGCTACAGAAACAACCCCATCCCTCTCCACTTGTAGTATAACCAGGGTTACATCACTGATCTCATTAAATTTTTTTTTCTCTCTAAGAAACAAATGTTTACCCCCCCCTAAAAAAATGGTCCTTTTCAGGTTTACAGTCACCTTCTGAGAATTGGAACTTTTTTTCTGCAAATGTTGAGTTCTTTTTAATTTAAATAATAATAAAATCTATGTAATTTTCCTTTCGCTGTTAGTGTACTATCATTGGAAATGCTGCTACTACTACTACTCTAGTAGCTATACACATTGATCTTATAAATGCTGAACAACAGTTTTAAGTTTTTTCCCAAGAAACTTTCTATTTATATTCTTCAAAAACAAGCCTTGTTTATCCCCCTCCTTCTGTTCTCTACCTCAATCAATTTTTATATTATATTGCTTTAAACTTTTCACCAAATTCCAATTTTAAATTACCAAGGAATAGTTGTGCAGCATCTTGTCAAAGGTATTTCTAAAGTAAAGGTACAGTAGGGGTACACACATCATCTCCACTGAAAGTAAAATGTGTGAAAAGACCAGCTGTTTGGTGAGAAACTTAAAGTTTCTAAAACTATAATGAGTATTGGTTACTAACTGCCATCTGCATGTTTTTTTTTGTGAAAGGTTATTTCTGTGAATAAATATTCTTCCTTTTTTATTTTCATAGTCATTAAGAAATATCTTGAAGTTATCTGATGGCACCTCTTCAAAATGTTTATTTAACCAAGACTTGGTAATACCAGTCTGTGATATCTGTATGAAGTAAACCTGTGTACGTCTGTGTTGGGCAACATGATCAGCATCTGTTGAATTTCTTGGAAAAGATGGATGAGTTCTAGTCACGTGTTAAAATTCACTGCCACAAACACATTTATCAATCTCCACCTTTCAGCCCTAGTCTACCGAAAACTAATGGCTAACCAAAATTCCAAATTGTAGTGCAGAAATGTAAACGTTCTTTGAAAAAAATGCTTCACCTGAAAAAAAAAGTATTAAACCAGCTTATTGTTGTATGTGTTATTGTAGTGTTGAAAGAGAGTGATTTAATGTTAGGTAAAAAAAAATAAACTTATGCTGAAGTCAGCCTGTTTACACTAAATTTGACAAGACTTGTGTGTAGTTTTGTGAAAGTATATTTTACTGTTGTGTGTATAGTTCTTTGTCTTTCACTTCCTTCCAAGTGAAAAACAACAATATTTAATCTCTTTTCACAGTGCATTGAATATTGGTCTGGAGGGGGAAGTAACTGTGGCTATAATTAATTGTTTTAAATAATGGTGGTATTGTTATTTTGAATGACTTTATTTACATCTTTATCATGCAAACTGCCAATGTTGATTTGATATATAATGAAATATCTGCACAATTATTACAGTCAGACTGTATTTCTCCCTTGCATCAATGTCCCCCCCCCTCAACCCCTGGCAACGAGCTTGATTGGAAGATTACCTCGTACAGCATAAAGTTGACTGTATCATGTTGATGGTAAAATATATTAACAGAAGTGTAATCTTCAATAACTAGTATTGTTCAATGGCTGGGACAAGACAAGTCTCCACTAGAATGCCTATCAATAGATCTATTGGCATTTAATAATTTTATTATTATTTTAATTACAGATGGAGGAACATACATACCATAAGTTGTACTGCTCGTAGAAACTGACTTGATGTCATGGAAAACTTTCCTTTTGAAAATTGAATGGGATAATTACTCTTTGTCATGCAAGACTAGCGAATTTCTCGGGTGTCACTTGGAATGTTGTTTTTATTTTATTCTTAGTACAGAAGAGGGTATTAGTACTGCTGTTGTATAATAACACTTGGGCTCTAGTAAATTTGTCTTTACTTTTAGTGTTTATACAGGATGTAACTTTTGTTTAGTTTTTGATTTAAAAAAAAAAAAAATAGGTGGCTAGATAGACTAGAAGACTTGGTACAGTAATGTGAGGTGTACAATATAAAATTTGTTGTGTAAGTAGAGATTCCAAGGGTTTAAAAATATGAGAATAGATAAAAACAAAATGGTTGTTAAGGCTTAAATCTCTCAACCATGATCAGAATGTGAATCAAATAGTTCTGATATGCACGTACATTTAAGAACGAAGGTGAAGTTTGACCTTTCAAGAGATTCTAATTGGAAAAGTATTATGGATAAGAGAAGCATTCACAAACAATTAACTTTTTTTTTTTTTATTGTGAGAGACATTGATGAGATTCTAGACCTGCATATTAATTTGTTTAGTTTGTCAAGAGAATTAATTTTGTTGGAAGGTTTGGTAATCCATCCTGAAATTTCATGACCAAATGAGATTTATCCTACAACTTTGTGAAATTTGAGTGTTGTATGGAGGTTGTAAAAAAAATAAAATAATAATAATAAATAATTTTAGAATTTTTTTTTTTAACTGCAATTTGCTAATTTTGTAACAATTTTTTTCCCTCTCTTCATTCTTTCTCTCTCTCTTTTTTTTTAATATGTAGACCCTGGTTGATGTTTCTTCATACAAAAGATGAATTGTGAAACTATTTTCTGGTGAAATTGGTAAACTTAAAATCGGTTAAAAATTGGCTTCTGGGTGTTACTTTTATTATAAGAATGTTTCTACTATGGTCCTTCTAGAGTCTGATTTGGGGTCTTGTGTATATACTGCTTATCTTAAGGAGTTGGACACCTGTTTTGGCAGGAAGTTATCCATATTAGGCTGATACTTGTATGCCTTTTATCAACCAATTCATGAGAAGTTAGTCTTGGAA